AACAACATCATCATAATCATCATCAGCATCATCATCAGCAGATTCGTCATCATCACCACCACCATCATCATCATCAGCATCATCATCATCACCACCATCATCATCATCATCAGCATCATCATCATCGTCATCGTCATCGTCATCGTCATCGTCGTCATCATCATCATCAGCAGCATCATCATCAGAATCATCGTCGTCGCCAACGTCATCGTCAGCAGCAGCATCAGCATCATCATCAGCAGCATCATCATCAGCAGCAGCAGCATCAGCATCATCATCATCATCATCATCATCAGCAGCAGCAGCAGCATCAGCATCAGCATCAGCATCAGCATCATCATCATCATCATCATCATCATCATCAGCAGCAGCAGCAGCAGCAGCAGGGGTACGTGGAGCGTGAGGCGGGCGAAGGCAAATAGGAAAGGAGGGCCGAGAGGCGTGGGAGGGAGGGGAGGAAGAGAGAGCAAAACGAAGGGAAACCATGAGGGGGTAAAGATGAGGAGAGGGAGGGGGGGGCGGGGGAATGGGGAGGGAGGTGCCATGGTAGTGCACCACGTGGGAAGAAATTTGGGGCCCTGGCCCTGAGCGCCCGCTCGCGGCGACGATCAGACGAAGAGGGCTCGTGGCAGAGCAGGACACAGCGAGGCCGGGGGAGCAGGCGCTAGGGGCGCGAACAGTGGCGCTGCGAGCCAGCACTCTAGGACACCGAGCGTCGGCGCAGCCAAAGGGCACCAGGACACCGATGGGCGCGGCAGGCGCAGCAGCGGCAGCAGCAGGAGCGGCGGCGGGACGATGGCGAGGGAACAGCACTGGCACCTGCCGCAAGAACACCATCACCACCACCACCAGCGTCGGCAGCGTGGCACATCAACCAGGAAACCAACGGCAGACCTCCGACTTCAAAAACAAGCTGCGTTGATCTCTGGACGCAACACGTGTCTCCTGGCCGCGCATGCACACGGGATTCCTCTAGCTGGCGATCAACCCCGCGTCGGGCCCCTGGGGCCCGACACGAGGCGGGCGGTGAGGCCAGTCGCGCATGCTTGCGCTCTCAGGAACCTCCCAGATGGGGGTCCGAGTAGGTGGGATCGAAGGATCGCGCCGCATCGCCACCGTCGTCGTCGTCCTCCTCCTCCTCGTCCTCGTCCTCGTCCTCGTCCTCGTCCTCGCCACCGTCGTCGTCGTCCTCCTCCTCGTCGTCGTCGTCCTCGTCCTCGTCCTCGCCCTCGTCGTCGTCCTCGTCCTCGTCGTCGACCCCAAGGCGAGAGGGAGGGAAGGGCAGCGGCAGCGGTGCCTCAGAAGCTTCCTCGGAGGGCGCGGAGGGGGCAGGCGGCCTCTTCCTTCATCAGGTCCTCCACCATCTGCAGGCCCTCCTGCTCCCGCCGCGTCTCCTGCGGCCCCAGCGGGGGGCGGGCGGGCGGGCGGACTGACCCCCAGCCCGCACGTGCCCTGCGCGGCCCGGCCTCCACGCCGGAGGCCTCGCTCCCACCCCCAACCCGTGCCCCCGGCCTGACCACTCTCCCTCTCTCTCTCTCTCTCTCTCTCCTCTCTTTTGTCTCGCTCTCTCTCTCTCTCTCTCTCTCTCTCTCTTTCTCTTTCTCTCCCTTTCTGCTACTCTCTCTCTCTCGCTCTCTCACTCTCTCGCTCCTCTGTGTTGTTTTAAATGTATATACCGATATGCATATATACATGTATATATGTCTCTCTCTCTCACTCTCTCTCGCTCTCTCTCTCACTCTCTCTCTCTCTCTCTCTCTATCAGCAACTGCCACTAAGCACAAGGCACCGACTTCCCACTTCAGCGCCGCGTCTACCAGGGCCCTGCCAATGGCCAATGGCCATGGCGATGCTGATGCTCGTCAACGTGCGCCACTTTGCCCGTCACCACGTTGGCACGATACTGCGATCGCTCTGCCTACGCGCTGACAGATCCACCAGCTCTCTCTCTCTCTCTCTCTCTATATATATATATAGCCTTCCCTCCCTCCCTGCATACGTATAATCTACACTTGAAATACCGCCGAACGCCGGATGACTGGTGAGGGAGGGAAGAGGGATTAAAGAGAAGCATAAAGAGGAGCATCGGAAACTCCTCCTCCAACCACTCGCACCTTCACATGTCAATGCTCCTCCGACTCCTCCTCCACCACTTCTTCCTCCAACTCTCCCTCCTGCTCCTCCTGCTCCTCCTCCTCCTCCTCCTCCTCCTCCTCCTCCTCCTCCTCCTCCTCCTCCTCCTCCCCCTCCTCCCTCCTGGGGGACAGAATTGGATGTGCTCCCAGTGTCCTGCCCCCCCCCGAGCCCCAGCCCAGGCAGAGTTCTCGTGTCGCTGCGCTTGCGTTGTATGCCCGATTGGGCTTGCACGAGATGTGTGTGGCTGCAGGGCTTAGGAGGGACATGGCCACATCAGGGAACTGGGTAAACAGAGTAAGTGTGAGAGGGGTGAAACCCCCACTAAGACGGGTCAGTGGATCCTCCAGCGTCTCTCTCAAGGGCGGTCGCTCCGTTGACGCCCCCCTGGAGTAGCATAGGTAGCTTTCCCGACATAGTCGGCTTGGGGTAATCCTTGGGTAATCCTCCCCCCCCTCCTCCTCCTCCTCTCCTCCTCCTCCTCCTCCTCTCCTCCTCCTCCTCCTCCTCCTCTCCATCTCCATCTCCTCCTCCTCCTCCTCCTCCTCCTCCTCCTCCTCCTCCTCCTCCTCCTCCTCCTCCTCCATTACGCATTCCTTGAAAATAACGTCTCCCTGTCGCACCGTGAGGCCAGTTTTTAGGGCGGGCCTGGCGTTTCCCCTGAGACTTCCTCACCAGTTATGATTATGAAGCTTCAGGGTGACAACAACTTCACAGATGGAGGGCGGGTCGTTTTCAAAATGTGGCTCTCGCCTTAGCGCTGCGCACATCGTAAACATTTGCAAGCGTTTCACGGATTGAGGGCGGGTCCTTTTCAAAATGTGGCTCTCGCCTTAGCGCCGCGCACACTCGTCTTGAAAAACATGCAAGCGTTTCACGGATTGAGGGCGGGTCCTTCTCAAAATGTGGCTCTCGCCACAGCGCCGCGCACATTCGTCTTTAAAAGTGCAGGCGTTTCACGGATTGAGGGCGGGTAATTTCAAAATGTGGCTCTCGCCTTAGCGCCGCACATAATCGTTGCAAACATCTGCAAGAGTTTCACGGATTGAGGGCGATTCGTTTTTTAAATGTGGCTCTCGCCTTAGCGCCGCGCGCACTCGTCTCAAACAGTTGCAAGAGTTTCACAGATTGAGGGCGGGTCCTTTTCAAAATGCGGCTCTCGCCTTAGCGCCGCGCGCACTTGTCTCAAACATTTGCAAGCGTTTCACGGATTGAGGGCGGGTCGTTTTCAAAATGTGGCTCTCGCCTTAGCACCGCGCACATTCGTCTTAAACATTTGCAAGGCGTCTCACGGATTGAGGGCGGGTCATTTCAAAATGTGGCTCTCGCCTTGGCGCCGCGAACATTCGTCTTAAAAATTGCAAGAGTTTCACGGGTTCCCATGATCAACGTGCCATAAGTGGTGTTTGGCAGAATTCTGGATTATGCGGTGCAACAGTTATGTTGCTCCGCGGTGTAGAAGTCCCAAAAATGGCGTTCTGGCACGGTTCCGGATCGTCAAGACGCAGGAGTCAGGTCGAGCCGTGGCGTTACAATCCCGAGAACAATCTTTTGGCATGCTTGAGGATCTTCGAACGGCTGTCTTCCAACGAGGCAGTTCCTCAATGGAAACGAACCGTTGTAGGGGCCGATGAAGAGGAAGCTTGGAGAAAGGGTTAATTCCAACATCGTTAATGACTCTTGGGTTTACACTGGTCCTCCTCCTTCTTCCCGCCTCCGCCTCCTCCTCCTCCTCCTCCTCCTCCTCCTCCTCCTCCTCCTCCTCCTCCTCCTCCTCCTCCCTCCTCCCCCTCCTGTCCTCCTCCCTCCCTCCCTCCTGTCGGGGGGTGCTGCCCTTCCCCAATCGTTGGCCACCCCATGCCAGCAGAGGAGACCCCGCCGGGGCGCCTCCTCACTGTTGCTCCGCCTGCCCTTGATCTGCTCCCAGCGCGCCTGCACCTGCCTTTGCCTCACGATCGCCGACACCTTGAAGGCCGCCTGGGAGACGGGCCGACGAGCCATGGAGAAGGGCAGGATACCGAGGGATCCCGAATGGAGGAGCCCGGAGCGGCGCCGCGCGCCGCGCGCCTCGCGAGGCCGGGCCGGGGCGCGGACTCTGCTCCTCTGGCCTCTGGAGGAGGGGGAGGAGGGGGAGGAGGAGGAGGAGGAGAAGAGGAGGAGGAGGAGGGGGAGGAGGGGGAGGAGGAGTAGGAGTAGGAGGAGGAGGAGGAGGAGCAAGAGGAGGAGGAGGGGAGACGGGAGGAGTAGGAGGGGTAGGGGGAGTAGCAGCTTAAACCCAAGACTCATGAGCGATGTTGGAATACACTCTCCCCCAAGCTCCCTCTTGATAGGCCCCTACAGCCAGGCGAATATTGCTGGTAGTGTGAAAGCTTAGAGCGCATATGCACGTGTCGGAGGCGTCATGGGGGCATGCGCCATGTCTTCATCATCATTGCATCCGCAGCCTGTTTGGCCCACGAGGCGCGACTTGAGGGAGTGCCATGGTGTCGAATCTGGCGAATGCAAACCAGCGCAAACGACGACCGCCCGACACGACCGACGACCGACGACCGACGACGACGACGGACCAACCGACCGACCGAGGACCGACGATCGAGGACGACCGATCGACCGAGTAACGAGTAAACGACCGACGGACGGACCGACCGAGACGGCGAGCGACCGACGACGACGGCGAGCGACGAACCGACCGACTGACCAACAACCGACGACCGAACCGACCGACCGAGACGACGACGAACGACAACCGGCGGACCGACCGACCGACGACCGACGACCAGACGAACCGACCTACCGACCGACCGACCGAGACGATGACGAACGACGACGACGGACGGAAACACCGACGACCCACGACGGAACCGACCGACCGACCGAGACGACGACGGACGACGACCGACCGACCGACCCACCGACCGACGACGGGACCGACTGGCCGACCGACCGACCGACGACTGGACCGATCGACCGAGACATCGCACGCGCACCAGCGCGTGCGAACAGGCCCCGTTTGGGAACGAGGCGTGACTACAATGCTAGGACCCTCCCGCCCCTGGGCCCGTCTTCCATCACTCGTCCCCGTCGTCCACCTCCTCCTCCTCCTGCTCCTGCTCCTCCTCGTCCTCCAGCGATCCAGTCCAACGGAAACCAAACAACGTCATCATTGATTCGGAGGGAAGCCCTTCTCTCTGACCCCTTCCCTGCCGGGAGGGGTTCCCGAAGAGGACCTCATGATGGCCCAAGAAGCTCGAAGACGGAGTCACGATGGCCCAAGGGGGCCTGTGGAGAGACCCAAGATGGCCACACGACGGCCCAAGACACCTCCGATATGGCCAACAGGTCCCCAAGACGGGCCAAGAGATCCAGATCCCTAAGACTGCCAAAGAGGGCCCCAAGAAGGCCGAAGAGGGCCCAAATACTACCCTAAGTGACCTCCAAGACTGCCCCGCAGGAGCCCCCAAAACGGCCCCAAGATGACCAAAAAGAGCTCCATGAGAGCCCCTCAAGAACTGAAGACGATAGGTGTCACATACGACGGCGTTCTACTCCCTCCCTCCGTCCCTCCCTCCCCCCTCCCTCCCTCCCTCCTCCCTCCCTCCGTCCCCGCCTCTCTTCCTCCCCCCTCCTCCCTCTCTCCCTCCTCCCTCTTTCCTTACTACTACCAGGACTACGACTACGACTACGACTACGACTACGACTACGACTACGACTACGACTACGACTACGACTACGACTACGACTACAACTACGACTACGAC